TTCTTTTTACTTTTTTATTAGTGATTTTTGAGTCATGGCTTTTATTTATTGTATAGATGATATTTTAATGTCAAACTTCAAATTTAACATGATAAGAATCATAAGTTAAAAGTAAGAATATCAAGATATTAAAATAAATATACTATCATTAGTGACTATTCATTTCTAACAAATCAAAGTAGAGAATTGGGAAAGTTATGAATCTAAAAATCTAGACGTCATTTTTTAAGGACTTTATTTCTATTATTTAATTTATTTTCTTATTTTATTTTATTTTATTTTTTGAGTGCATATTTTTTTGTTTTTTATTATTAATTATTTAATTGAGTTTAATTTTTTTAATAATTCATAAATTTGAGTTCTTGATATGAAACTAAATTTTAGTTTTCTATTATTATTTTAGATATGTTTAAGTTTAGATTATAATAAATAATATTTTATTAAATTTAAATTTTAAAAAATTTAAAATAAAATACCATTCAACAAGCATATAAGTATATACTTGTCAATTATTTAGTATCTCTTGAATTAAGTACTAAGCATAGATTTTCAAATATTTGAATTAGTAACTCTCAGAAGTTGTGCCTGAAGATTTTCAAGTGAAATATCAAATATATTTCATATTTGATCCGTACAAAAAATGCCCACCCTTAAAAATTATGCTCAAGCCCATTGGCTAAAATTGTAAGCCCATAAAAGAGGCCGAACCAATACGGCCCATAAACACGATCTTCTCCACGTTCTCCAGGAAATCGGGTATGATTAGATAAAAATTAATAAAGGAATATGAAGTAAAGGGAGGGAAAGGAAAGACGAGTACAGTATTAGTGTTAATTTTGTTTAGATAAATTTAAAATTGAGGATTTAGGAGAGGGAGAGGAGGATTATAATTTTTTTAGTTAAATAAATTAAAAAAATAATTATAAAATTAATTAAAATTTATAAATTACATATTAAAATTAAAGTTAAAATAAAAATTTTAATTATATTTAAAAAAGACAAAAAAATAAAAAAAAATCCAATCCTTCCAAATCCCCCTAAATTAGAGAGATTAAAAATAATAGATTTGGAAGGAGTTTGTTGCCCTCCCTCTAGCTCCCTTCCATCCTCTTCCCTTAAATGACTTTATCCAAATAAGAGAGAGAAGAGATCTCTTTTTCACACTTTCTTCCCCTTCCCCTCCACTCCCACAATCCAAATGAAGGCTAAATCATGAGTACACCAGAACCTCTACACATCATTGGCAGTCTCTTTCTTTTTCCTTTCTCTCATAATTTCCTTCACTTTCTTGGCAATCATCATTCTTAGGGTAATGCTTCCTCTCAATTACATGTTCTCTCACGTCTTCCTTGCCTTCATCTTTGAATCCTACTTTATCGAATAGTGAGGAGGAACGAAGGATGGAGATGGAGAACAAAATAATGGTGCCATTGTCGGGGTTCATGCCATGGCCGAGATTGTTAAGAGTGAGAGTTTTGGAAGTAACTAGAGGGAGAAGGGTTCCTCCTTGCTTGGACTTTAGTATTGAGTATTGAAGAAGTCAGTGAAATATCAAAAGGGAAGAAGATATTCATAATGGTTGTAGCTTTTGGGAGATTGAATCAAAACTGGATTAGATCTTCAATATTGTTCATGGATCAAGATTCCAAAAATGAATTGAATAAATAAGTCAAATTTTCATAAGCTTAGTGGACTTGCTGGCCACTAACTTAAGTATAAGTCAGGATGCTAATAAACAACTAACTTATCCAATGTATCAAGTAAAAAAAAATAAAAGTCAAATTTTTATAAGTAAAATTTCACTTATACATTAAATTTTATACATTATATTTATATAAAATTTTAATAAATCATTATTTCATTTTTAATAGTTAAGATTTATTCATATTTATTAAAAAAATTATATTTTTTTATTTTAAAAGTTATAAGAAATCTCAACTATTGAAAATAAAAAAATAAATGCTTGAGATTTTATATAAATATAGTATGTAAAATTTGTGTATAAGTGGATCCCTCATCTTTTCATATATATAACAAAAGTTAGATCAGTAAAATGTTTGGATTGCATTATATTCCTTTTTGAATGAAATTAACAAGGCCTCTTCCTTTTTCCTCTATGCAAAATGCATCCATAAATTGCGAAGGATGCTCTTATATTAAGTCACAAATATAGATACGGACACCAATTATGTTGCATATATACTTTAGCCCTTTTTACAAGCAACTCAATACAAGGGGCTTGAAGACGTATTAACCCAAACTTGTGCCTTGTTTCCATCACCTTTGAGGAAATCATGGAACCACTTGAGAGAGTTTTTAGGAATACACTCAAGGTTGTTTTGGAAATTAATGTAGTAAAGCCCATATCTCACATTGTAGCCCTCATTCCATTCAAAATCATCAAATGCATACCAATAGAAGTAACCTCTATCAACCCCTTTCTTGCATGAGTAGTCAACATACTAGATTACTACTCTATTTCGGCAAGAAAGATATTTAGATTGTAGTCATATATAAAGAATTTTTTTTTTTATTATCACCTTATGGTTCATCAATAATTTGAGTTTCAACAAGCATACCAATAGGAGTATATTTTAAAGTTAATTAGGATACTTTTTAGATGGTCTATGAGCTAAACTTTTTAGGTTAAGCAAAATTTTTTTTAGAAACATGGTCATGAACTTACTCTCTTGCTTGGAGGATTTGATTCAAATGCTAAAAATTAAAGTCAATACGATGTTGATCATTTACAAATTGATCAATTGGGACGCTGTCATTTTGTTTGTCTACAGTCCCAAGAACAAGAGTTTCCAAGAATTAGAAATTATGATATATATATATATATACCACTTGCCAATGAAATCAATGAAAAGGAAACATAAAAACAAGCTCTAACCATTTTCAATGATATAACTTTTAGGATTTTGGTAGCATGTCTGTATAAACTATAAAAGATCTAAAAGTCCCAGTGGATAAACATAAATGAACATGCTTCCACTGGCTTGAAATGGAAAAAAATCAATATAGATTTTGGTAGTATGTCTATATAAACTATAAAAGATCTAAAAGTCCTAGTGGATAAACATAAATGAACATGCTTCCACCAGCTTGAAATGGGAAAAAATCAATATAGATTAAGTAATTAAGAAAATAGTAGAATATGTAGAGAGAATGAAGACCATGGAATAAAAATCCAAGTTTAGTTCACCTAAATTCTTTTAGATTGTTGTTGATGAGTTGAATATATATATTTATATATTAATGTAAAATTTCTGCCTTGATATTATTGATATTTAGATGAGTTTTATGAGGTTTTACTTGGTTTTACTTAATTTTACATAATTTTCATTCTTTATGTAGGAAAGGATTTAATTGAAAGAAATCATAATTTTTAGGAGCAAATTGCAAAAATAAAAAATATGAGGATTAATTTGTGTGGAATCCAGAAGTTAGGGACCAAAACTGTCATTTTACCATTAACAGAAATTGCTTAGAAGGACAAAAACTCGACATGGAGATTTCAGTCGACGCTTAATAAAAGGTATTGACACATAGTTGATGGTCTTGACCCCTTATGTGATATAAATAAGTCCATGGCTGTGGTTATTATTTTGGTGTGAGTCTCACTTCTATTCCAATTAAATTTTCTAAAATCCTATAAATATTCATCTAAGTTCAGAATTAAGGGAGAGCTTTGGGAGGTTGGTGGTAGTCCTCTTTTGAGCACTTTTGGAGATTAAGATAGAGAATTTAGCAACAATAGAAGATCAAGAATTTCAATGTTTTCAAATTGGGTCTTGTTCTTTCTATTGTTTGATATTCTAATATTCATAACTATGATTTCAAGTTTTATTATTTTATTATGAACTAATTCATTTTACTAAGGCTACAATGTATTCTAATAAATTTATTATAAATTTTTTGATTTTATACTTTCAATTAAAGTTATTTGTATGATAAGTTTTTCTTGTTGTATTTAATGTATTGAAAGTCTGATCACTTTTTAATTGATTTAGTAATTTATGCATAAAATTGAGAAAGAATTGTGTAAATTACACCAATAACAATATTAACTATATTAGATTATGAAACTGAGAAATAATTAGCATCACATGTGGCAGTAGAGGAAGAGAAAAGAGTTAGGAGATGCCCCTTCTTAAGTTAAAGGTTGTCATAGAATTTAATATTCATTAGTTTGTTTTAAATTATATAAAGATATGATTAATTTGACAAGTAGGGGAAGGATTAACTTGATTTGAGAAAGCTAATTAATTAATTTGGGGAAAATCTGTCATCACATGCAATAACATTCAACAAATTGATTTTAAAAGCATATTATTCCATAATTTATATTAATTGACTTTGGTGAAGTTGATACTTTAGTACCTCATATCTTAGTTAGCTTTATTTTAATTGTTATTGTAATACCCCAAAATTTCTAGAGCATTAAAGTGAGTTAGAGACCTAATTGTGAAGAAATATTATTAATGAACTTAATAGTAAATATTTTCAAAGTTCAGGGACTTAAAAGAAAGGAAATTAGGATAAGGATCAAGGCTGATATTTCTCTCCTCAGCCACGTGTTTTGCTCTTCCTCATCTTCTTCTTCTGCTTATCTTCTTCTCCTCTGCCGACTGAAGCCCCCCAAGCCACCGACTTTCTTCCCCCTTGAAAAACCTGGTGAGATCTTGATGAATTTCTCTTCCTTTCTTGTTAAATCACAAGATTTGGGGCTTAGAATCTTCCCTCTCAACCTAGAAAATCCCGGATCTACTTTGCTTTTCTCCCCTGTCCATCGGCTGCTATGTGGGTTTGAATTTCTAGGCATTTTTCGGGTAAGCCACAGCCAAGAAATCATCTCTTTAACCTTGATTTAGGCTGGGTTATGCTAATTTCTGTTTATTTCCCTCAATTTTTTTGGGTAGTCCGTGAGTTTCCTGCAGCTTGCCGCCGGCTTCTTCTTCCCCTGCTAGCTCTGGTTCTTGCTAGAAAATTATGGTATGATGGCCACTTCTTTAAGCCTTAAATTAGCCATTTAATTGCTGCCTTGTGTGTGTCCGAATTGTGCCGGAAATGGGGAGGAATTCCGATAGCATTAGTAGCATTTCAAATGTGTTTTAAGCTTGATTAAGTAGAATTTAGCTTGAATTAGCTGCTGTGATGTTTTGTGTGAAAATCTCGTGTGTGTGAATTGTGATTTGCCAAAGTTATGCTCTCCTTGTGCTACCGTGAGAAATGGGAAAATTTTGGTAGATTAAGTTATGTTTTCAAGCTTGGTTTAAGTGTAAATTAGCTTGAATTGGGTTGTGGTGATTTTGGAGAAAAATCCCGTGAATTAGCTAGTGTTTTGGCCCATTTTTGGAAGTTAGAGTTACTGTTCACGTCGTGGTACTGTTCACAGAACACTGTTCACACACCGAGGGCCAACAATTAACGGGGATTTAAGTGATTAGTTTGTGATATAAGAACGAATTTGGAGATATTTGATCATGTGGAGATTGATAGGAATAGCATCAGGATTAAGAGTGATCTTAATGATGATTTCAGTTTGAATTTGTGATAGTCCGGTATTAATTCTGAGGTATTTTGATTAGGTTCCCGATCGTTCTGTCAGTTTAGTACGTGAATTGAGTGCTCGGTTTTGCGGAGTGAGGTAAGTAAATTATGGTAACGCCCTTTGATTTTTAAAAGCATGTTTTGATTTGTTTTTGAAGTGGTGGCGGGACTAAACCTGTTTTACACAAGTATGACTGATTTGAAGTGAAATGTTTTATGCTTTTCATTAAATTGAGCAGGCCTACTTGAAATTTAAGTGACTGTCCTGATGATCTGAAAGTGATTGTGAATTGTGATTTTCCTGTTAACTTCTGTCTGTTTTGTCTCCGATGTGGTCATGTTATTAGTGACCCTGCTAGTGGGGGAGGTTATAAAGCTAGCACATGTCGACATGTTATTGATAAAATCGATTCGTTGAGTGACCCTGCTTGTGGGGGTTATACACCAGCAAATAGTGACCCTGCTTGTGGGGGTTATACACCAGCAAACAATGACCCTGCTTGTGGGGGTTATACACCAGCAAACAGTGACCCTGTTTGTGGGGATTATACACCAGCAAATAATGACCCTGCTTGTGGGGATTATACACCAGCAAACAGTGCGCCTGCCAGTGGGTGTTAGACGTTGGCTGTGACTTATAGAGGAGACGTCTATTTCGTTCTTGTATTGTATCCGTTTTTCGTGATTGCACATGTTGGCATGCTATAAGTTTAATTAAGGGCACTCCATATTTACTTATTGAGTTTATCTCATAGTTTTTTCCTTGTCCACCATTTCAGGAAGTAAAATCGAGGACGGGGAAACCACGAGAAGTGACGAGTTAGAAGGCTAGCCATTTCGAGATTGACATAGATTTTAGAAATAAATCGTGATCTTGTAAGCTAGAGTGTATTTGGAGATTTTATGATATTAGAGCAAATTTTAAAGATTTGATCTTCAAATTTTGATGGTATCAGAGTATGATATGATTAAGTTCTAAGCCTTGTGCATTTGTGGAACCCGTCTTACGAGTGCACGGCGTTTGTCGCGCCTCGAATTTGGGTTCTGGGGCGTGACAGTATTTATCTTGAAAAATTGATGAAAATATTTTAATATAATATTACAATAATTAAGCATTGCTATTTTTAATATTTAAAAATTCCAACACAATACTTTACTCCATTACCTTGATCTATATATGAACAAGCTTTCGAAAGAACTTGGGATTCATGTTTGTGCGCTTCACTTCAAAATTATTTGTTGTGCACTCTATTTTCAACTTAGTTAACGCATGTTTAAATTTGATACCACATGTCTAACCCCACAATATTGTTATCCTATCATGAGCCTCTAGCTCTCATTGAAATTTTTTGCTGAGAAAAAACAAACATAAAAATGTGTTAGAAATAATTACAAATATATTTTAAAATTAAATAAATAAATAATTTTAGAATTATAGGTTCAATTAAAATAGGTCTTATTTCTTTTGTATTTGTACAAAATCCATCCCTTGACGTAAACACTTACCAAAATTACATCAATGATGAATTATGGTAGTTTTGTATGTAGAAGGACAAATTTTGTATCAATTCAAAAGCTATTGGGCCTATTTAGAAATCAAACCTAATTTAAAGAATGGGCCATATACAAAATTGATTCCAATAAAAATCTCAATGCTCTTATGGAATGAATCCCCATGTTGTATAAGCATTTGGAATATTCTCCTTTAACTACATTACAATTTCCTACCTAATATTTGTGGGATATTACCCCCATCGTCAAGCACCAATGGAATTTGACTACTATTTGCTGGTATTTTCACGGTTTTGCCTTTGTTGTCCTTTTCTCCGATGGGCTACTAGTTTTGTGTCATCTAGATTGCTAGAACTACGAAAGCAATATCAACTGTAGTCTTAGGAACTATATCAACTGTAGCACCCTCTTGTATCAAACACTAAGGATTGAAATGAGATAAACATTTATTGGGCTGAGATGCATCAACTATTTCGATACACCTTGAATTACAATAGTTCACTATACAAATAATAAAAAGAAAAAGAAGTTCATTAGTAAATTAACTTAAAGATAATAGAGTAAAATTAATGTACCAAATAAATAAATATAATTATAAAAATATAAATCAAATTACAATTAAAAAAAGAAAATACAAGAAAAATAATTATATTATTTGATTAATATATAATTAAAGTATTTAATAGATTAAAATTAATTTTTTTAAATAAAAAATATATAATTATAACAATACAAAACATTCAAAATAAAATAAATAGAATGATAGCAATACAAACTCCAAATATTAACAAAATTACAATTAAAAATGAAATAATATAAATAATATAGTTTTAGAAGTACATATAAGCAAATATAAACTTTAATGACAACTAGTTTTTACAACAATTTTGCCTACTTATCGCTACTATCATTTTAAAAAATATAAGCTTCTTTTTCTTTTTTTTTTTTCATTAGATGTTTCAAAGTTTTCCCACTCTTCCTCATCATCTTGTTCTCCAAACTCCTTCCCACCATCAACTTCTTCGTGTAGTTCAATAAGTGTTCCATTATAATGCTACACAAGTTCATAACTTAATTCATAAATATTTATTGGGTGGGGAATAAGAGGGTTATCGTCTTGATAATATGGTGCTAATCCTTCTTGGTGGCTAACCTCATTCTTTGAAACCTTAATGATGCTCTTAGCCCTAATTTTAAAGGCAACAACCCATCCCTTTCCTTGATTATTTATGGATGGGTATAGAATGTAATGGGTAAGTGAGTAACTCTCTCTAATTCTCATATTAGTTTGTCATCTTAAGGTATGAGAAATTAATATGCTAACAATGAAAAATTATTTAACATTTTATAGTTTATTTAAGAAAGAACAATGCATGAATATGAATCATCAACAAATTCAAGCAAAAATGATGTCTTATGACCATGTTCTAGTCAAAAGGCTTTTGAATTTTCCATGCAATATAAACAAGCCAACCTACCATGCGTGCTCCATTTAGATAACATTGGATACCTAGGAATGTCACTAATGGTCCACATAATTGCAACCCTCATTAAGAAGTATTGGTGTCAAAAGCTATCATAAATTTAGACCCTAGAGTCCCAAAGTTGTTTAAGATCATCAATTAGTGGTCGCAACATTACATCAATATTCTTTCCAAGACTTTGGGGACCTTGGATAATCAATGAAAGGAATACATACTCTTCCTTCATGCACATTACTAGAGGCAAATTATAAACTAACACAAGGAGTAGCCAACAAGAGCATGGAGATGCAAATTGTCCAAAAAGAGTAAACTTATCAATGCACAAGCCTAGCCTGGCATTCCTCGATTCATTAGCAAACTCAAGGTGGGCATGATCAAAATGCTTCCATGCATCTCCACATGCAAGATGAACAATTTTTTCATTTTTATTACAACCATTTATATTCTAGATCATATGCTCGATAGTTTTCCTAGGCATGTACAATCTCTAAAGTCTAGGAATAATTAGGAGATACTACAAAGACTTTCTTGGTATGGGCTTAGTAGAATAAACATCACTTTGCTTAAATCGTAGCTCTCCACATACTAGGCTCTAAATAGCATTGGCTTTCAAATTTTTCATAGTACAAAAAATAATTGTGTACATAAACATCGTACTTCTTATACCTAAGATCGAGGCATCTCAACATCTTCTTGGCACTATAATAATCTTTTGGCAATTTCTCTCGATCATTGTTTTTGAATGCCATTAGACTACATTTCATCACAGTCTCAATTAGTGACACTCATATTGAAAATTGTCTTTGCATTTACAAGCTCACACACCTACTTTAAAATGGGGACACCATGATCACACCCATAAAAAAAGGTGTCTAAGCTAATTATAGGAGATCAAAGAATTCTTTTGCATCTCCTTTTGGCTCCTCAAATATTGACTCACCATTACCAAATGCATCCTCAAAACCACAATCAAATTGTGCTACATCTGCAACAACTGTAGCATTATTTTCATTATTAAAAAAATCAAGCCCTAAGGCATCATGAACTATGTCTCTAAGTTGATCAACACTTGAAAGTATTATTCATGGTGGCAACTGCATTTGATGACTTATCCACTTGGGGGCAATACCATTTTCTATGTATAATTTCTTCATGTCTATTCCAAATAAGATATCCATCCATGAAGCCATTCTTGATAAGATGGGACCTCACTTTAGGTCGATGGTGCAACTCTTTATTCCAACACTTAGTACATGGGCAATGAATTAGATTTTTTTACACAAAACATTGAGTTTGTCTATGAAAATGCAAATATAAGAAAATCTCCACTCAAACATCAAATTGACTGTTCTAATATCCGATCTCATTACGATAACAATACATCCAACTTCAGTCTCCTTCCATACTTAGGTAATGCCCTAAAATTTAATACTATTTTAATAATACACAATGAATATGAGAATCATAAATAAAAATTTCAAATTATATGAATTACATTAAAATAATTACCCATTTAAATAACTTTAAATAAACCTCTTATATAGTTTTGCATTATTCATTATAAGAATAATTTTTATACAATTATAAGATAATTATATAATACTATTTTTCAATATAATTCAAATATAATATTATAAAATTAGTTTATGATATTTTACTTATTCAAAATATAAATAAATACAAGATAAATTCTTCTATTTTTATTCTATAACCTAAAATTGTACCCCATTTTTATACAATTATAAAAATATTATAGAATATTATCTTTCAAAATAATTCTAATATAAAATATATTTTATAATATTAATTTACTATAAATCGATTATACAAAATATAAATAAAATAAATTTTCCTCTAAACTTTTTTATGAGTAAAAAATTTACACCATTTTTTTATAATTTTAAAACTATAATACAATATTATTTTAAATATAATACTAATATAAAATATATTTTTTAATATTAACATTATAATTAATATTATTAAATTAT